CACACACAGGCATATACACATATAATATTGCAATTCTCAGCGAACGCACTTACCTTCACCGCCCATCACTCCACCAACACGAGCTCCACACCCGGCTGTCAGTTTCGAGAGAGATAGAGAGAGACGATGGATAACACACTCTTACACACACACTCTGTTTTGTTAGTATTATTTTCCACTGGCTAAAATTCATACCCAACGCGCGTTATCTAATAAACTGATAATTCGCTCTTATATAATATTATAAAATATAATATCATGATAATCGTAATAATAATATAATTAATACAACATATACACCGCCGACGTCAACGAACCCCTTCACACAAGTCGTGTCGTACAAAATCACGTCACTTTTAACGAACGCAAAAAAAAAAAACAAGATTTAACCGCGACTAGAGCGGTGACGGCGTACAAATATATCTACACAACACAATACTCGTATACACTATACAATATATATTATTTTATACTTGCAAAACTACCTACACGCGTCTATATATAGTTTTAATTAATTATATTCTACGCTAACGGCCGGATGCTCGTGTGTAAATGTTCCTGAGTATATAATACTGATAAATAAATATAATATCACGTGTATTAACGCGTAAAGATGACGGAGTGAGGGTGTGTGCTAATGAAGTGTTTTTGTTACTATTCCAAAAACGGTGGATGTAATTTAATTTACGTTTTTGAACTTGAGAGAGAGAGGAAGAGAGAGTTTACAAACTATGTATATATATATATATATATATTTATACTATGTACCTATGATAATATTACGGCGTTGTTCGAATGTCGTGCGCCGTCGCTCACTTTTGTGTACTAACACATTTACACCCCTTTGGCTCTGTCGAGTGCGACAATCTACCGGGGGCAATAGCTTATCCACGGTGCACTGTTCACTTTACCGTATAATCTTTTGTAAATTATATATTATCCTTTTTGTTCAAAACCACCGTTGATGGCTTATGATCGAGTGCGAAAATTATAATACTTATATAATATTTTAACGTAACAATAACACCCGATTTTCTCGTATCATAAATTATATCATAAGACATATGTTTTACACTCTACTGGCATATTCATTATTTACATATATATAAATATTAAAATGTACGTGTGTGTGTGTGTGTATGGTATACCTGTCACCGCTGTATTATTAAATTTAAAATAATTTGAGTATAATTATTATACTTAAATACAACTTCAAGTTGTAAACGTTAATACTTTATACCATGAATCTTTTCACACTATTCTACAGTACATCTATATTAACAGTTAATGATTATCCACAATCTACCTTAATATTACTTTTCTCTGCGAATCCATGGTGTATTTTATGTAACATTGTACATATGAAACTATCACATCAATTTCACTTATTTGGCAACAGCATTACTGGTTTCATGACAAATTTTTTCATAAATTTCTCTCACAATTTCATGAAATCAGAAATATCACAAATTTAGTGTAATATATGTTGCTTACACAAAGCTTCCTCTGCAGTTGGTTAAATAGGAAAAAAATACTTATATATTATGTATATAAGTATCGTATACGTATAATAGTAATTATACAATGAATATTGGTTAAATTATCTTGTACAAATGAGATTTCAGATATAATTTAATCTAATATCAGTTACAAGTTTACAACAATGACAACTTCTGTACCTATAATTTAATTATATTATTTTATTACAAGTATTATTTTGAATTAAAAATGTACAGAATAATTTCATTAATTTAATCGTGGCATATTTATTGTATTTATTTTTTTAACAAAATAATTGACATCTAAATTTTTAAAAGGTTTTTGATTTAAAAAAAAAAAAAATTGTGACATGTATATAATATGTATAATTGAACAATAAAAAAATCAAAAACTATACAATGACATATATGTATAAAAAAAAAAAAAGTCGCTTACAAGAAATAATAGGTTAAAACAAATTAACATTCTCCTATAAGTTTGTTATAACCAATTTTCATTGTATACTATACTATTTATTATAAATAAATCATTATCACTTTTGAAGGGGACGGCTTTATCTCGTATTGAAATCATTTTTAAGTACAATTTTCTGCGTATTGATTTTTTATACCTATTTAAAACTAATTTTACATGCAGGCAACAGGCTTGATTGAAATAATCAACCGGTACTTCAAGGTTTTGGATGATATATTCAAATAAACTATACGCTTCATCGCTTCGATATTATTATTTATGATACATTATTAACAAACACAATATCAGATATTCACAAACGTTCGCTAATTATTTATCAGCCTCATCATTAGTTTTAAACTATAATGTACAATAGCTGTATTTTTCAGCAAGAAATCGGTTTTTTTTTTTTAAATTACAGCATTACGATGAATTTAAATTATAATTGGTATATAGCCCTTTTGGAACACGCCTCAAATTTAACACAGTCGAGAAATGCAGTATTGATCGGTTAAACAACTTAAGTACATGCAATTATTTTAAGCTAATTAAAAACGTCTCCACAGCATTACGACTGCTATCATCTTTACGACCGAGGCCGTCGGATTAACAATTTCATCCCCACCCTCCCCACCGCCACCATTTCACCACGATCGCTCCCCCCCCCCCCACAAACAACAATGATATTATTATTATGCATTTATATGTAGTTGTCGGCGGCGGCGCCCATACCTCTCATCGCTCCGCAGTAGTATATATATATACTATTATTGGCTTGATAAATTGGTCCATAAACGCCGCTACAGTGGCTGTAGGGATAAAACAAAAACATATACATTTCGATTTCTATTCACGCTTGTCGTCTCCGCTACAATAATGTTTATACGTTTCTGGGTTCTGTCGCGTTTTTGCAACACAATATACCAAAACACTACAACTCACTGTTTAAATGTAATTAATCAAACCACATGAATTATATATTAATATATATATTAAATATAATATATTATAAAATAATATTTCGAGGCGATAAAATCGTGCAGACAGCCGTATGCGCGCTCTTTGCCGGCGTTTGATTGATTCGTTGCGATCGGAAACGCCTGACAACTATATGTCCATGTGGCTTTGTGTATAGAAAAAAATAAACGAAATATTATAAAAGTTCACTCAATAACACGCGTCGAGGATTAAGTGAAAAATGACCATCGGATTTCACCACATGACAACCGTCTGGTGTGCATAAATCAACAACACGTCGTGTCATGCTTCCCAACGATCCGAGAGCGGCAGTTGCAGAATACACCTGTGCACGGCGAGCACTGCAGTCGTTGCCGCTCTCAAGCGCGGGACTGTCAGAATTCCAAATGTCCACTACAACTCTACTCGCCTTTGGGGCTACTGCAGGAGAAAGAAAATCGATCCCCTCAATGAAAAAAAAATTGTTTTTACATTAATGCAACGCTTAGTTGTTATATTGTATATAGATTAATCTAACTGTAGATAAATCGTTTTTAGTTTAAAACCACAGACCGATTATATACATAATATAAACGCGGAATATCCTTTGATAATAAAACCACACACCAAAAATAATTTCATTTATATAAAATTTGGCAATTTAATAATGATGATTTCATTATAATCGATCATATAATAATTAAATTGAATAAATTACTAAAATCATTACAGTGATGGCTATTCTATTGAGGGTTCAATATGCTGTATTATAATGTTCATTTCTATACGCTCAAAGACTGAATACCTAGTTTATTCGTGTATAAAATTACGTATAATAATATGTTATTGTTATACTTTATTTGAAAAGAACATTGATCACATTAATAAAATAATATTTCCTATGGAAAATTGATTTTCAACGTAAATGTCTGTTATGAAAAATAATATTTATAGATAGGTACTGTAAAATTTGTCCTAAATACATTATGCATAGGCATAATATAATATAAGTGCAGTATATTTAAGGTGAACCAAGCTCAAATGTATAAAACCTTTTTCAGTCGTCATTTAAAAATTACATTTAACGTTATTTATTTTAAAATCTGTATTGTTTTGTTTATTCCGACACACTTAACCTGCACATTTTGAGAGACTTTTTTGTTGTTTGTATACATTATTGTGAATTTAACATTCGTAAGATGTCTTGACACAAATCGCATCTATTTAAAAAATAAAAATACAACCCCCTAATTTGTCACAGTTATCGCACATCGTACTTTTCATAATAAGAAAAATAATATAATTCCCCTTCTCCATTACTACAAACTTTTTTACATCCCCTTACAATATTTGTGCTTTGATATTCCGAACAGAGCTTTTATCTTGCCGGCAACAACAGGTCTTCCGGCTGAATACTAAATAAGGACACTTAAACGCATTAAAGTTGTCTTTCGAAAGAAATTCCATATTTTTGTCTCCCTTCCCTTCGAAAAAAAAAACGTTATTTGATATTGTTCTTAATGTTTCACGTCAAACTCGGCATACCAAATGTCTTTCGGTCTTTAAGCAAAACAAAAAAAAAAAAAAAAAAATAGGGACGTTGGGTTTTTTTGATTCGATCGTAAAATAAAAAGAAAAGTAAAAACCACCATACTCCACGATATATATATATATGTCATAAAGCCTATAAAAACGTGAAAAAAACTCTTTACGTCTAGGTTCTAAAGAAAAAGAAAAATCTATGTGGTGTCTGCGGGGTGAACTTTATAGCGGCCACAGCCAACTGGATATATAATATTTGTTACTGCATTTTAAGCCCCCAAAAACTCATAAACCGAGCCATTCGAACACGATCTCTTATAGTATTGTCGGATATCGCGGTATTTTTTATAAAACTTTCCGGAAAGTCTATGTATATTTGCGTAAGTAAACTTTGCAGTATGTACCTGTATGTTGAAACTTAGTATCGTCAAAACTATATGTATTTTTAAAATGGAAATTACACATCCACAAGGTCTTAACTATTCTTCTGAGTAATAAATTGTGTGATTTATATTTTTTAATTGTATTTTTGTTTTGCTTATTTTTAGAAGCAAGATGACAATGGACGTTAAAGCCAGTCAAGTAGCAGCCAGCACAGCTACCAAATCGAGTGCCAATGTTGGTGCTTCGGCATCGACGGGAGGCCAAGAGTGTGCCGGATGTGGAAAACACATAACCGATAGGTATGTCACACTACGTATATTTTAGAAAGACTCAGTCACAATGTATTTTAATTTATAAACAAAAGACGGCTATCTGCTCTTATTAGTGTATTGATCATATAATATGCGATGCGATACAAAATGTTCAGTGATCAAATACTGCAGTACAGTGTACACATTTTTTTTTTTTTTTTTTTGATAGATTTCTGTTGAAGGCACTGGATTTGTTTTGGCACGAAGACTGTTTAATGTGTGGATGTTGTGGGTGTAGACTGGGCGAAGTCGGATCGACGTTATACACCAAGGCAAACATGATATTATGCAAGAAGGATTATTTCAGGTATTTATTGGCGAATACATCGCACACCGTATGATGCTATTACTGATTGACAGGTTTTACAGGATGTTTGGCAATAAGGGCATGTGCGCGGCTTGTTTCAAGGACATACCGGCGTTCGAGATGGTTATGAGAGCCCGCAGTAACGTGTATCACTTAGAGTGTTTTGCGTGCCAACAGTGCAATCACAGGTAATGAACCATAAGAATACCGTTTTGTTCAGTCATGAAATTATATAATTAATAGTAGCTACCTGTCATATTATTATTGTTACGTGCCGTACTCTCACTGTAATTTATCGAGGGTGCGGAAGTCTCACAAAGCAAAGAATTTAAAACTTGCCGGCCAAAGTATCCCTCGCTGTAGCATTAACAGCAGCAGTGTATATTTACTGGTACGGGGTCCATCGCCCTCATGCCTTACGTCTAATCCGCTGCAATTACTTATCCAAACAGCTCTAGGATACAACCCGATACAGGAGAGAAACTCGTAATGGTGATCCACGATTAAACGTTCTAACCCGCCCGCAAACAAATTATTCGTATTAAGCGAGTCGGACAATATTAATGTTGAAGAATTACCACACGTTTGATGAAATCCAAGAACAAGTAGTTAATATTCGTAGCTCCGGAGTTTATACCCATAAAATAACATTCCACATATTATAATTCGCTCATTTGTACATGTAATATATAGACGCGATATAATGCTTGACGTTTAATGATTGTATAATTCCTGACGTTTCGTAAATAACTTAAATTTTCAGTAATATCAATGTTTCGATACCTATATTATTATTATTATTGTAGTAGGTAAGTCTGCTGTGACAAATACATCACATATCGCAGTTGAAAACTTAGAGAGATAAACGAGTATATATTTATTTATGTATAGATCAAATACAAAAAATGTCGGTGAATTTTCAAACTTTCATCGAGGACCATGAGACATGAAAAAGTTTACTTTCAAATGATTTATAACAAAGAAGAAAAAATCGTTATCCAACTGAAAAAAACAACAACAATTTTTAACCACATAAATTGCAAAATATAATATGTATATATATTACACATTTTGTACGAAAACTTTAAACTATTTTATACGTTTATTTACGTACTTATATTATGTGCACAATAATAGTGTGTTAGGATTAGGCGTTACCAAAAAAAGTAAAATATATAATGTTTTTTTTAAACAGTGCATAAAAATGTTCTAATAAGAAAAATAATAAAATGAATCTAGACAAAAAATAATTAGTATAGTTAAATTATATTATACATGACGAATGCAATAATAATAATAATAGTGTTATTGGAATTAGCAATTAAATATATTGTCCACGATGATACGAACGCAGCACATGTACACATATTATTACATCGATAGTGGAATATATGGCAACATGTGCGTGGCTAATTGACATGTGACACATACATAATATACAATATATATATATATATATATATATATTATAGTTAACGTTCAATATGTGAGCGTGCGTATAATAATCGCAATGACTGTAGCGACAGTGACGGCGGCAGTGGAAGTGGCAATTATGAGAAAACAATAACTCATATATATATACATCACTTGCAACGATATTCCACCCCGTAACGCCTAAAGGGGTAGCTGTGCTACAATATTGTAATATTCGCATTGCCCGGCATTGTCACAGCAGAAGCAGCGGCTCTTTATTCCCTTTCACTCCAATTAATTAATACACACACACGCACACACACACACACACACACACACCAGATGTACGTGCGGGGGTGGCTGGTCATACTACTGTGTAGTGCTCGTCGTACACACACGTAAGCACGCACACTGCCAGCAGATTAATTAAATTTCATCCCCAGATTCGGTAAACCCTGTGTAAACGATTCCTTTTATTCCGCCACGCGGGCATTCCATCAGCGCTTCGTCCGTCCGTCCGTCCGTCCGTCCGTATAATACATCCGTCCGTACCCTCTCACTGCCACTTCGGCTGTTCGCCTCTCTTGCACTATACACATACATTTATACACCACCTTGTCACGGTGGATATTATATTTCAAAACGACGATACACTGCCGTAGTCGCCCTCGATCCATACCACTCGAGACTCGAACGTTATTCTATGTATACAACATATAAAACCCCATCCGATGATAAAAAATAATTCACCGCGAAAACAGTGAGCGTTACCGAACCCTGCTGCTACTGCACCGATATATCTGTAATTAGGTATCGATGTAAATTACAGTCATAATTATTATTAACTACATGCGTGCATGTAGTATATTTAATGCACTTGGTGTAGTACTTAAATAAAAAAAAAGAAGGTTTAACGTGAAGTGGTTATGCACTGCAGTTCGTTTTTGCCCGTCTACCGTCTTGGACTGCACAAAGGGGTACATAATATTATAGAATAAAATGCATAATCTGCTATACCGATTGCGCAGTTCATTATTTCGTATTAGTTTTCGTATCATAATATAATATGATTCTTTTAAAAGTATCTCAAATAGTATTAACATTTTTTTTTAAACGAATTGAAGTCATATAACTATAAACCATATTTAAAAAAAAAAAATCTATGGTTTAATAACTTTAATATTTTCCTGAAAATTTAAATTTATTAAAACCGGATTTTAAACGAATAGGTTAGTTAATTGTTTATAGTTATAAATTATATCTGCAGCTATTTAAAGGTATAAATGATCGTAGATACATAATATTGGTCCCCTTCTTCGCTTACATAAACTTATACTAACTTAGTTTGTTGCCTTTTTCGAATCGATAAACTACGACTTCTGATATGAAGAGCTCCCATCGAAGCCTAAATTGATCAACTATACTTGAATGTTTCTTTAAAAGTTATATTAGTTTGATATTGTTCACTTATAGATTTCATTTCTGCATAAATACAATTATAAAATAAAAATACGTAAGATAACCAAGGTTCACTTTTAAAAATCGATCATCTTAAATATGCCCCACTAGACAACATTTTCAAATAACTTTTAAACTCATTGAGTAGTTGACTTAATATCGACCGTGTAATAAAATAATAGGAATTATCTAATATTTTAACTAAAATAAAACTTTATTCTGGCTGTTATCATAAATAATACCTACTCTGAACAAAACGTCATAACGGAAATTAGAAACTCCTATAACTACCTAACTTTTTATCGCTTTAGCTATATCAATAAGGGGACTATACGCGGACGAACACCGTACTGGGTACAATATACTATATTAAAACTTGATATAAAAATCGAATGATATTTCCCCTGGGCTATTAGTTTACCCGTTTAATATCAACAATACAAACACTATTTGTCAATCGTCCATTCTGTAGTTTCAGTGTAGCCGTCGCTGGGTGGGATTAAGGTGTACGATTGTTAACAAATTTTAAATTCCCGAGAACGATTTAATGTTAGTTTCAATATAATTTCACATCATCGTCATTGAATCGATATATTGAGTTCTATTAGTCGTAGAAGTTAAGTGTTTTTTCCTTCCATAGTCTGTGCTCTAAATTATCATGAAAAGAACATTATGCGTTAATTATTTGGCATTCAAACAAATAAAAATGTTAATATTTTTACTAAATACTAATGTTATTAAAATATCTAGGAATGTTGTGTATATTATTCATACTATAAGTTGTACCAACAAATCATTTTATTTTTGGCTCAAAGATGTTTATTTGTCATGCTTATAAGTAATAAATTATAATAAAATAATTTAAATACAATCTTGATATTATTATTATTAAGAAGATATTAATCAATAATTTGTATTAATTAATAATTTATGCTTAAGTACGATATCTTTTTGACAATGTTTAAAATTTGTTTTATAAAAAGCCTGCTTAAAAATATTTTATAGAAGTATATACTAAAATACTATGATGGTGGATTTAATTGTATGCAAAAATGTAAAATATCATCATTCTCAATCATTAAATTTTAATATTATGGATGGTTTAAAAATACCCTACTAATGTTATTTAAAGAAAACTGTTTACAAAATCTTCTTTTGTTATAAAAATATTTTTAAATACTATTAATTAATGTGAATAACGGTGGTTTTTTGAACTGAAAAAAATTCAAGTTTCATGATGGTGTCATTAATCAAGAACTTATCTTTTTCTTCCCCTGCACTTAAGCACACATAGTCATCATTTTACCATCTTCAACCCTCCCTTTTATTTTTATGTCATGATAATGTCATTATTATTATTATCATTATGAGTCATTCAGTAGAAATCTAATGGATTTTTTCTACAAAAAATATTAATATATTAATTTACATTTTAAACAAAATAAATATGTACATGTAATTTACAAAAAAAGCTTTATCTAGAAGATACAAACCTTTTTTTTCTTTTCATTATTTATAACTACTTTACTTATTAAATAATTTGTTTAGTATTATATGCACCAACCATCATAATATTGACCAATCTATAGTAAATTCGTAGTGTGAACTTTCAAAATAAAAATAGATTCCTTCATTAGTACGAGAAATTCCAACACAGTAAATTCTTTCTTATTCGTTATTTAATCAAATACGTACATTATGCAGTGAATGATTTTAAATTTTACTGAATTTTCAAAGTTCTTTACTGTTATGAAAAGGAAAACTATTCAATTTTTCTAACCTGAAAAAACATACATATGCTACAAGCGAAAAGAACAATTATTGTTGTTTTTTTATACCTCGGGTGAAGTATCTTTTACTTTATCTAAACACAAGAAAAAAAACTATTAACGACTGACAAACAACGCAGTGAGACACATATTTTATACTACGCCTATTAAATTTAGAGTGTCGCGTGTTTGCAAGTCGTGTGAATGCCGTTAATAGAATATTTACGGAGGCTGTGGCGACGACCGTAGAGATGTTGCGGTCGGATAACGTAAACTGCCAGGCGGATGCGGTGTGGTGTCCCGCACGCGTCCATCCGTCCGGGGTCAGACACGAAAAGGACCCTCGCTGGGGCTTGTGTGAACGTCGTCGTCGGCGAGCGCGCTCGTCGCGTGTGCGTTGTGTGTGCGATAATCGGTTCAGACAGGTGGAAAAAACGAGCCCACCGACCGACAAGAGTGATAATCGAGGGGCGGCAACGGTAGCCGGGTGGATGGTTTATACGTAATTGAATTGTCACTGGCAACTCGCGAGAGCTAATTTTACGGTA